AGTTTAACTTCATTCACAAAACTAACAAATAATACATGCAAGCGTCCTTAATTAAGTATCACACCTTTGTGGCAAGAGATTACTTATAGCTTACACAAATTACATGTTATCTTGTGCCATTACAAATAAATTACTAGATAGATTCTATTTGTTGAAGAATCTTACCAAGCAATTCATGTATAATGCAATTTCCGGTTATTTTCTTTAGGGTTTGAGTATTTAGGTTTGGTTTTGTTATGAAAAATTTGTTGATTCTCAGAACAAAAAACAAACATATATCTGGCTCAGAAAAATAACCAAACAAAACATAGTTCAATAAGGAAAAATCCTAAAATTGCAGTGAATAGTGTTTCTACGTGAACAGTATTTCCACATTGAACAATATTTCTGTGTGAACAGTAAACTGCCGTGAACAGTACTTTAGGGGTTCTTAGTGTCCGTTTTTGACCCAAAACACCTTTCTGAATAGGGAATAACATAATTAACACAACCCACAGCTAAGCTGTGATATATGGGCATTTTTAGGGTTTTAAGGTGATCTGCTAGGTCAGAAACGTGTTTAAAGTTTTGAAAATATGAAAACCGAATCAAAACATGCTTTTTCCAGATTCTTTAATATTCTCAATATTTCAGAAAACATGTTCAATCAATTTTCAAAAATTAAACATAACAAAAAATAATATAGCATAACCAAATATGTAAACAGATATGTAAACAGATTAGGCATGCTTAAACAACGATTACAGATATGTGTGAACAACCTAAAGCTCTGATACCAACTGTAAGATTTCTTTAGTAAATAATCTAGATCTTTCACACAAACATGTAATACGTATAAAGACATGGAAGACATACCTGGAGCCATCTTCCTTGAGTACACAGCTTTTGAACTCATCCTATTCGTTGCGCAGCAATCCTAGCAATAGTATAGAAGCCTTCTTCCACTACTACATTTTTTAGTTTGCGTGACGAACACATATTCGTCGCAATAGTATGTTTTGCGAGACGAAAAAATTTATGCGTCGCACAAACTTCCATGGATAATAATTTTATAATTTTTAATGCTCGCGACGAAAACATTTGTCGCTCTAGTACATTTTGCGCGACAAATTATCTCAGCGTCGCGCAAAAGTAGGGAAAAAAAAGATCCCTGTCGCACTAGAAAAATCTCGGGAAAAAAAACAGTGGTGCAGCTTTTTTCACGCCAAATTGTTGTGTGACGACGTGCCTACTCGTCGCGTAAGGTGGATGTCGGCGTGGATGCGTGTCAAAGTAGGGTTTTGCGCGACGACACAGTGCATTTGCGCGACTAAACTTTGCGGTACGGATATAAGCTCTCTCTCAGAATCTGTTTCAGCTCTCTCTTTATGATGAGAATAGGTTTAGAGAACGTGTCTGATGAGAGCAGGGCCTTAAGCTTATATAGGGCTAGGTCAAGTCGTCTCTACTCATCACCGAGGGCCGACTTGACTAATCTTCCAACCCCACTTAATCGGTTCACGCAAAAAGGAAACAAAATAGGACTCCTTAATAGGCCCTAAAACCTTTCCTTATTTCACAAGGTTTTGGGCCTCAAGGTACAACTTAATTTAAACCCTTATCAAACCTGATGTGACTTAGGGCTCGTTTGGGAGTGCTTTTGGAGCAGCGAAAAGCGCTTCTAAATGGGTGAAAGCGCTTCTGTCTTTTAAAAATGGTGTTTGGCAAAAATTGCCAAAGCGCTTTGGGTGAGATCCAAAAGCACTTGGAGTGGTTTTGGAAGAAGCACTTGAGAGGTGCTTCTTCATAAAAGCGCTGCAGGACAAAAACACGGGAAGCACTTGGCTCTCTTTAATGAAACTTTTAAAATGCCGAAAATACCCATATTTAATTTTTTTAAATGCCAAAACACCCTTTTTTTCTTTTTTTCTTTTTTCTATTTTTCTCTCCTATTAAACCAAAACTACCCGCGAAAAGCCCAGACTCCAAAACCTATCACCCATCTTCTATTATCTCTCTCGTACAATCTGCTCTGGTCGGCAGCAAAGCTTCAGCGTCAATTCTTGCTTTAGCACTACCAGGTGCATATCTCATATTTATTTTTCTTCTACTATTTGTCTTTGATTTGGTCACCGTTTTGTCCTCTTGGATGGATGCATGCAAAAGGAAGTTTTACTTTTGCTATTTGTCTCTGTATTATTGTGTTGATCTCTGATTGAAGAAACTACAAAGATTATGTTTCCTTTCATACTTGTGTATCCAAACTGCTTTGTGTATTAAAATACTGGAAAGGGTTGCTAATGATATAATATATGCAAATAAATGCAAAATACGTGGTACTGGTACTCTGCAATTAATTTCATCTTAGTGTGTGAAGTGGTTAACTGCAAGGAAATTAGATGTTGTCTTTTAAGTTTTACAGTTTTTCTCTTTCGATAAAAAAATAATGGTTGCATAGAAAGTATTTAATTTGTGTTCATTGTACAATGTTTTTAATAGAGTAATGTCTAATAATATGGATAAGCCATCACAAGATGAATGTGGCGAAGAAAGCAAGAAACAAGGAAAGGCTCATTGGGATGATGAGGCTCTTGATGCATTTATAAAAATTTGTGTTGTTGAGACAATAGCTGGAAATCGACTAGGTGGCCATTTTAGTAAGCAAGGATGGAAAAATGTTATAAAGAAATTTAGTGAGTTGACTCAAAGGACCTACACTCAAAAGCAACTCAAGAACAAATGGACTGGACTTAAGAAAGATTGGCAATTGTGGACATCTTTGGTTGGAAAAGAGACTGGTCTAGGATGGGATCCTGTGAAGAAAACCATCAATGCTAGCAATGAATGGTGGGACAAGAAAGTGAAGGTGAATTTCTTGTCATACAGTTGAGTTATATTTTCTTACACCTGAAGCTAGATACATAGTTTTGTTAGAACTTTTTCATTTAAGTTGATATTATTGTAGGAGACTCCTGAAGCAGCAAAATTTCGAACATGTGGATTGAAACATGCTGATCAATTAGACATTTTATTTAAGGATATTGCTGTGACGGGTGATGGAGCTTGGGCACCATCACAAGGTTTTGTCCATGATGTTGAGAATGAACTAACTCGTCCAACTGAAAATAGTCCTGAAGATGTGGTGTATGACTTGGAGAATGGTCTGGAGTTTAATGAAGGGCTTGATAACATAGATGATGTTGATACTTCTCCTAATATTGAAACTTCCATACAAGATAAAGCAAAAAGAAAAAGGGATGGTAAAAAACCTGCAGTTGGGGAGAAGGTGATAAAGCGATTAGATTCTATTTTAGAGTCAGTAGCAAATCGAAGTTCTAGAAACAACGACAAGCCTAGTTGTAGCATTGAAGAAGTGATGCAAGTTGTAGAAGGCATACCTGAAATTGTTGAGGATGATGAGCTTTTCGTGAAAGCTGCAGATGTCTTGACAGAAAGAAAGAATAGAGAGATGTTTGTTGCATTGAGGCAAGCCAACCGACAAATTATGTGGCTTAGGAGCAAGAAAGTTTAAATTTAGCCTTGGTTACTTTCTTATTTGTCTTATTATCACTACCCAAAATGTTATGGCTGTATGTGATTTTAATATGTGCTTTACTTTTGTGTGGGCTGGATGGGAAGGTGCTGCTCACGATGCACGGATATTCATGGAAGCCTTACGAAGACCAATTTTAAAGTTTCCTCATCCACCTACAGGTAACTAAATACATATATTTTTTCTCCAATTCAAATATGTTTTAATTTGTGATATAGTAAATAATGCTCACGTTGTTCTTTGTTTTTATAGGTAAATATTATCTAGTGGATGCAGGCTATCCACAAATCAAAGGATATTTAGGGCCATATAGGGGTGAGCGATATCATCTTCCTGATTTTCGACGTGGAAGTCAACCAAGAGGAAAGAAAGAAATATTTAACCACATGCATTCTTCCCTAAGATGCACAATCGAAAGAACTTTTGGTGTTTGGAAAAATCGTTGGAGAATGATACGACAGATGCATAACTTTCCTATTGAAAAACAAATACAAATAGTTGTTGCTTCAATGGCTCTTCACAACTTTATAAGATGTCATTCAATGACAGATCAAGAATTCCAACCGTATGATGATGATGATGATCTACTTCCCTCTGGCGGGGCGGGAGTTACTATAGGGGAAGAGATGGTTGAAGAACAAAATCTAACCCATGGGCGTGAGATGGCTGACGAACGTGAGAGAATTGCAAATCTTCTTATGTCTGGTTAATTCCTTTTTTATTTTCAAAAAATGATTAAAAATTATACTTTGTGAAGTTCATACTTTTTTAAGTCGTGTTTTTATTTTGGGATCCTGTGAATTTTTATTTCCTATGTTTATTATAATATTTTTGGATTCTTTAAATTTTTGTAAAGTACTTTTAAAAGTGCTTTTACTGTGTCAACCAAACACTCAACAAAATATCAAAAGCGCTTTTATGTAGTGTAAAAGCACTTTCAAATGTGACATCCAAACGACAAATTGCTTCTTTATAGAAGCGCTTATGTCTTAAGCGCTACTGGCATAAGCGCTTCGGAAAGAAGCACTCCCAAACGAGCCCTTAGTATCTAGTGCACCGATCTAATTAGGAAAACATAACAATTATAACACCTAATATAAGCAGCAACTCCTACCCAGTCATCATGGTTAGGGTGGCCATCCTCCTGATTACAACATTTACAAACTAACATAGCTTCGGGGCCAAGTTGTGCGCCCTTAGGGACATAATTGAGGTATGGGCAAAGGTTGAGCGGGTGATCCTTCAAACAAACCGTACAGTGAACAGGATCCCCAGTGTCTGCACAAGCAAGCATTTGGGTTATTTATAGTCAAGCTCAAGCATGGTAATTATTATGACACCCTAACCATGTTCGGATGTTCCAGTTCCTGACATATACTTTTAAAAGACCCAAAAATCCCATCTGAAAATTACAGTTAAGAATTTGAAGGCTAGCTCACTAGTTAAGTCCCAATTTTATAAATTCATCCAACAAAAATACATTTCATTTGAACCCGAAACTATTCTTCTTTAGTTTGTTATGGGGTTGGGGTTTAGGGTTTAGGGTTTTAGAATATTTTTTGGGATGGAGGGTTTCCATAATTTTTTTAATGAAATTTGTCCCAAAAACAAAGAATAAAAGATAAAACAACAAATAATAGTAATACCATACCTTTGACGACACAAAACCATCGCCCCTTTTCACTTGGCTTATTACTGGTTTGCGCTTCCGCTGTTAAATAAATACAGACAAACAAGTAAACATTTTGATTTCAATTTCCGAATTAGTAAACACACCATAAATAATATTCTCGCACATAAATAAACTAAAGGGTTAGGGTTATGGTTAAATACCTTGTTTAGCTTCTTCCGAAAATCCAATTTACGATTTAATTACGAAATTGCGAAATTGAAATAAAAAGATATAATAAAATCAAAATCAAAATAAAAAGCCTCAATTTTTGGGTAATTAATCACCAGTGGTTTCTTGCTTTTCTTAGAGCAATTCTCCTCTAAGACGTCTGTGTATCGCCTTTTCTTCCCGTAGCGCATCCCTTCTGCTATAAAAGTCAGCCTCGAACATATAATACGGGTCCTCACGTTCCTCACTTTCGTCATCACTACTGTCGTAAGCTTCCCATACGAGAGTCCCCTTACCCCACACCTTCTCTGGATCCAGTTTGGGCCTGGACTTTTTGTTGCAGGTGAGAAAGAGTAAGTCACTAAAACCTTAGCTTGATGTATTTGCAGAGATGCCAAACCCGCCAGTAAAAAAGAAACCTGAAAAAAAAAAACGCGATTCAGGTTTTGGAAAAATCGGCCGCCTAGGCGGGCTAGGCGGGTCCTTTTTTCACTTTTTTAAAAAAATAAATAGTACAGCCGCGCGGCTGTACTTCTTTTTAAAATATTTTTCCCTCAGATTTTCCTTTATCGATAAGAGTAGTTTAGAGCATAATCCCTTACTATTAGGCCATTACCCAAGTCTCTATTATCCCCTTTTGATTTTTTACTTATGACCCATATAAAGAATTTAGCATTTTCTCATTTAATACTTGTATTATACACGTAAGTACGTATTTTTCAATAATACTTCCGTTTTCCGTACATGTCTTAAAGACTCGGTAAAATATATATTTTTAAAAAAAGCATACATACAATACACATATTGTACACGTACGTATGTATTTTTCTTGTTTAATACACATGTTTTTTTACAAAATTTTCAATAATACACAAAAAAAAATTGTTTCTCATCCCTCATAGGAAACACATTCAACACCTACATAAAACATAAAATAAAAATAATTATTCTCAATTGTTTTAATTAATGTTTTGGGACAAAACTGTAATTTTTGGAAATTCCAAAACCAGCCCCAAAAATTCGAAATTGCAAGAGAGGTCCCTTGGTGGGATTCTCTTATGATGATTGGTGTGAATTTGTATTTATGGCTAGAACCCTCCTCATTTAGAGGGGCTTAAGTGTTCTGCAAATTCTGTAATCTGCCCCATTTGTTCAATGGAAAATCCCTGTTATCGCAATAAATAAATAAATAAATATGCTCATGTAACTTTTCCATGTTCTCTTCTCTTCTCTATCTCTATTAACTTTTCTATCTTCCCATCAAGTTTTGATGCTTGCCTACCGTCTTTTTTTTTCCGGTTACATTGGGAGGAAAGAAACCCCTTGAGATGTCAAGCAGGGGAAGGGGGAGGCCACCACTGTGGTACCTGCCCTCGACTGCCTACTGTCTCTTTTCTGCCATCAACCTGATGAAAAAACTGAAAAACTTCATTAGGCGGACACACAAACGACTGCGAAGCACATAACAATTTCACAATAGCTTAATTCTCTTAACTCAAATTGGTAACAATCTGATACACTTAATTCTCTTAATTAATCCAAATATTAGTGGGGATGAAGGAAAGTAGTTGGGTTGACTGGCATCTAGCGAATATGAATAACCTTAATAATCAAAGCTCAACAGCAGACGATATTAACCAAATATAACAATAATTCCAACAAAAAGGGCCTGCTGGAAAAATAAGCTACTACACTTGAAACTGCTAACAAAATCAATTCCAGGAAAGGGTCTCTGGATAATTCATCAAAAAAGGCCATGCATCCTATGGTAACTATACATTGATCTTTTTACTTTACAGGAAAATTATTCTAAAAAGAATGCAATTAATAGAAGGCAAAGAGATGACAGACAAATTACTGACACTAAGTATCAGCAGATCTGCTAAGATATAAGCTTAAAAAAATAATAATAATATAAAAAAACATACAAAACAAAAAGGTAGAGCATCAACTACATGCAAAAGTAAACCTGAATATCATTTAACGAGTTACCTTCAAGTTTCTGACTTGATGAGAACAACCAGCAGGAATAAACACAGCATCCACAAATTTTTGGGTTCAATTCCTATTACAGGCAGTCAATGCTCTTGACTTCCAAATGTTTACCATGCTTAGTATGTTGCATCTGACGACAAGCATGCCACATGACCAATGGTTCCCAGCTTAAACCTTTTATGCCACTGAAAATGCTTGAAATTCTCATGTTGGATAACTCCAGCCCTTGGACAGTTCAAATAGTTTTCATCAGAAGCAGCTCTAGAAGCTCCTTTCCTTAATTTAGTGCCGCTTGAGTCAACATCATCCACAGAGTTGAGACATGAAAACCTTTCTGCCGAATTTTCACTTAAACACTTAAGTTTGTAAGCTTCATCTATTTCTCCTGCTTTCTTTACCAACTCCCTGATGTGATTTTCAGAAAACATGCATCTAAATACTAAAATACCATCACCACAACCATTCATGTCCTTTGGGGGGCAACGAATACTTCCATCTTCACTTGGTTTCCACTCAAATGTTCACCTTCCAGAACACTTGGGGCTAGTTTCCGGAAGCAGTTCCATTCCACCCTTTCCTTTCCACCATGCAAATAGTATAGGCCCCGACTGACATTCCATAATCACTTCCTTCCCACCTCCCTGCAAGTGCCCATCTCGGATCTCCCGACAACAGTTGAGCCAGAGGTCATATGAACAACTAGGAAAGCTTCTGTGAAAATGAAAAATAGAAGTTTTGCAGTTGTTGCTGACAAAGTTAATATCAAATGATAATCATACTACAGAATAAATGTAATATAGAATATACTCC